GGGGGGGGGGGGGGGGGGGGGGTCGCCCCTCAAAATTTCCATTGAAAAAAAAATTTTCAGGTAGATTTTGAAGTTTTGCTCTATAGAGGTGCCCTTGGTGTGCGTCCGCCCCCCTTTGCCTTATTATCGTTCCGGCGTCCCTGACTCCATGCCAGTTTCAGCACATTCTCATTTCGGGAACAATTACTGCGGAATTACCTTAATATGTCATACAGCCAGGTGAATACAGCTATTTCGATTAAGGTTGTCCACAAGCAAAGCGGAAAAGTCGAATACGAGCGCGAAAGGCTGCTGGGAACCGCTTTGAAAATTCATTAATTTGTTAGCGATTCCCAGCAGCCTAGGAGATACTAATAAACTCGGCGGTCACGTGTGTACAAGCGCGGGGGTCTTGTAAGCACACCACGCGGAGAGATTAGTGCCTGATTATAGTGCTCTGCGGAGGAGAGCGGTGTGTATACATGTACCTGAAAGACTCCAGCCATTTCACGTTTCCCATTGCACGTTTACGCGTGTTAAAGGAGGGGAGGGTGAATAGGGGTATACAAATCCGCCGATCCGCCCAAATTTGAAGCAAAATCCGCGATCCGAGCCAAAATATTAGATAAATCCGCAATCTGCTGTATTAATAAGATCCGAAATCCGTGTAAAACATTCGCCAGATCCGAAATCCGGACAATTTTTTCTTTGAAATCCGACGATCCGAAAACCTATTCACCCCCGCCCCTCCCGTTAAAAAATTAACAATTTCCGAGGGAATATGACTAAAAAACACGGTTTTAACGTCAGTGAAAATGTTTTCTATCTTGAGTATTTGATGCGCGCTCTTCGCCGAAAGAGGCGATGCTCTTCGAAAAAAGCCTAGGTTAAAGTCCTGTTTACATGCACTTGCAATTTTTGATGCGATTTCTACAGCGATTTTCTTTTTCTGATGGATGTGAACGAGTAATTAAATTATATTATATGAATGTTCTGAGTGTATGTACTCTCATCTGAACATTTATAACTCATCCACTTGTTCACATACATCTGGAGACTGGAGAGGAAAATCGTACCTAAAATCGCAGCAAAATTGCAAGTGTAAACGGGCCTTAAGGCTCCTTCATTTTGAGTCCGATCGTCACAAAATTTGACACGGTGATTTTAAACGATGGTTCCCGACTTCTCTTTTTTATTTAGGGACAACGTACAACCAATTCTTGTCTGTACGCGTAAACTAATAATATGCATGCATATCAAAGACAGTCATGACCAGCGACTAACCATTAAATTTTGATTAAATTGTTAATAATAATTTGCATGTATGAAGCAAAACATTTAAGGGAACGCTGCCAATACTGCATGAAACGCCTCCACTTCGAGAACCATTTAATTAATTGACTAGTTTTCGTTCGATAATTTAGATCATTTTAACATGAAAAAAATGCCTCGCGAAACAATGAAAAAATTTGACATTGAATGTGACGTTTTTAAAATCAACCGATAAAAACCAAGCGATATACTGTAAAAATCACGAAAATACATGTACATGCTAGCAGTTGAATTGTTACATTGATCCAAAGCATTGCTCATCTTCTCACTACTTCACTTATGGTCACAACTCTTTCAGTCTTTTGTTCTGCCGGGCGCCGGCCTCAAATAATATCTTGTTTCCCGGACAAAAATCACCGGCAATTACGGCTATAGGCATTTAAATCATGTTTCACGACACGAAAATTCATCATTTCGCATCATGCATGAAGACAAATATTGGCAATCCCCGGCTCACGAAAATACCCTTTCACCCTCAGAAGTAATCTGGCAGGGACTGAAAATCATGCATTTCACATGCAAATTTCATTAGTCTTTTGAAACTAATTAGAGAGTCCTCCATAGCTTTACCGTGAGAGCTGAACTAACACAAATAAAAAGAAATACAATAAGAAAATATTAACGATAAATATTCAATGCTGTTGTGATGAAATATATTGACTAGAATTTTAATGTAAAGGAACAAATCAGATTAAGTATGATTTATTGTCATATGAAATTTTAGTATTTTTGCACAAGTGCATGCATATAACAAATCCTACAGGTTGATTGGTCAAATTTGACGTATTAAGCTGTTGTATTCACAGTATTGTTTATATTCTACAGGTGAATATAACAAAACCGAAATTTTCAAAATGGCGGCTGGCCGTTTTGTGGAAGTTACTGATAAAGAAATAAGCGAAATTAAAATAAATTTAGTCCCAAAAAACACAAAAGACTTGTGTAAAAATACTAAGACAATTATTCGCCTCAGGCTCGGTGATTATCGGGGAATATTCATTTCGACTTCGTCTCGGCGAATCATCCCCAATAATCACCTCGCCTTCCGCGAATAATTGTTAAATATTCGATATAGCCTATATATACATACAATATACTGACGGTATACATAATCATTAACGTATTCACATATACAGTGAGAATAAATGATGTTCCAACATGATGCATGTTTTCTTTAATTTTGCATCTCATTGTCGAACACTAAGATTCATGCAGTGTTGGCCGTCCCAACCAGAACTCGCAAATTTTTAAATATACTCTCCTATAATTACATTTGTTTCTTAAAATATTAATTTTTCATCAAAATAATTTTTGAATATCTTTTGTGTGCTTTGATATTGCTTTTTCTGCACTATGATGACGCAAATTCATTGCCAAATTGAGATCGAATTCCACTAGAGTTCAGTAAAAGCAATTAATATATTAGTTCCATGTGTGAATCTAAAACCATTATGCCGGATTAATAATTAATCAGATGCGATTTGAAACTACAATAACGGATCGACAACTGCATGATTCCGCGATAAGGATTAAGATGCATGCTTTGCCATATATCATTGACGTATGCATACCATATATAAAATTGTGCATTAGCTCATGACAACATTTCCGTCTTCAATTTGACAATGCATTCAAGTACATGCAGCCCAAAGCGCGAGTGCATGTAGAAAATGTCGTGGATAATGCATCGAGGAAAAACACAGTCGCGAGGTTTCAATTCAGTTCCATCATTGTACTCATAAATGACACGGTTAGACTGTTGCTTTTATACTATAAAATTTAAAAAATATATTTACTATTTGTTACAAACATAAAAGGTCCATTTCTCAAACATTAAACATAAATAATGGCCATAGCATGGTTTCGCCATGCATTTAGATGAAACATACACGCACGAGTGAGTGTTTCAAAGTCAAAGAGCATCAAAATTCAAAACTATAAAGCACGAGTCCGAAGGACGATATTTGAAGGACGGTCTTTGAGAAACTCACTGGTGATTGTTTTATCCAAATTTCATGAGAAACCATCTTATTACCGTATTATACGTATTAATAATACACATAAAAATATTCGAGACAGTATTTGTGGTTACGTTTCCACTGACAAAGTTTTCCTGCTCTAAATTTTACTCAACCATATTAAGTTTTGTTACTCTGCAGACTTGTTTAAATTAAGATAAAGTCTTTTCATGCACTTTACCATTGTATTCTATATTACCTAGTATACTAATCGTTTGGAAAATGGACCTATTATATTTGTTACGTACAAATAGACAGTATTATAGTAAATATATATCTTGTAAATTTTATAGTACAAAAGGAACAGCCTGACCGTGCCATTCTGCATACAATATAATGATGGAATTGAATTAAAACTTCGTGACGGTGTCTCTTTCCTCGATGCACCACCCACGACATTCTCGTGCTTCGGGCAGTGCTTGAAAGCATTATAGTCAAGAAGGAAAATAATTAAGGTTGATCTGTTCGGCACGTATACATATTTATTTATTTATTTATTTATTAGTTTCGCCATATTACAATACACAAAACTATAACAAGAACGAGAATAATATACATGACTATAGGCAGGGTGACCGCAACAGCGTGAGCCAATTACTGCGGGCCCGAATTAGGACATACAAACATAAAAACTATCCAAATAAAACTATAACTAATAGCAGCACTTAAGAGGCTGAACCAGAGTTCGAGCGGTATTACACTTGGTACATATAGTTTTGAATGTTCTTGGATTTTCAGGATCGTAGGAAATTTCCAAAGCACGGAAGTAATAACTTAGAGTAGTTGATTTAACTGAGTTCAAATTTATCATGTTAAGTTTCAGCTCGTCAGCTAGGCTGTTCCACACCCTGGTAGTTCGAATTAGAAACGAGCGTTGATGCGTCGTTGTTTTGCTCCTGGGAATGACAAACTTAGGTATGTCCGTGTTTATAGACGATCTGGTCGGTCTGGAGCTTCGGGTTTTTGGTACTACAGAAGGTTCTATTATTACCAGATTGTTCACCATTTTAAAGAAAAAAAACAAATCCAAAAACTCATACCAGTAACATAATGGAAGTAATGATAAAAACTGTAATCGCGAGGTATAACTGTCTGGACTGGAAAACGGCAGATTGAGAATAAATTTCGTGGCACGTCTTTGAACTTTTTCCAATCTTGCAATTAGGTTGATGGACTGTGGCGACCAGATCTGGGTGGCATTTTCTAAGTGAGGGCGTACTAATTGATGTATATGTATATATTGTGTTAACGTTGGACAAAACGGGACAGCAGGAGCGATGGGGGATAGTTAAAAAGAGCGGGAAAGGACAGAGAGAAAAGAAACATTACATTGTATACTATGGGTTGATATTATTAAAAGAAACGAACAAACCAGTTTATATTTGGCGACGAAGATTAAAAAAAATCACTTATCCCGACACTGACTACGTCACAATCAGATATATACAACTACAAAGCACCAAAAGCTGAAATACCGACCACTATGGCGGCCATGACGAGCATATCAACACTATATTTTGACCCTGATCTTCATCCAGACGACACTTTACGTGCTTTTGACGAATTTATCCAGAGCTTCGAGCTCCGATATGATGCACAATATCCTGATCGTCCTAAAACATCTCTAGATGCGGCTATTGAACGATGGAAACTCGCAAACGACGATAAAAAGCCAACGCTTGATGACTATGACAACATTCGCGACGAATGG